GAGAGAGAGAGAGAGAGAGAGAGAGAGAGAGAGAGAGAGAGAGAGAGAAGATGTAGATTTCAAGCAGAAAAGATAAAGAAAAGAGACGGGGACGGAAAAAGTGAGAAGGGGCGGAAGATAGGGGACGGAAAAAGTGAGAAGGGGCGGAAGATACTTGTATGTGCCGAGTATATAAGGAGTAAAAAAAATAAGGAGGGGCTTGATTTGGCTGGAGCTCTGGTGGCATGGTGGTTGTGAATTGGGCTGCTAACTATAAGGTCTGTAGTTCAAAACCACCGGCTGCTCCACTGAGAAAGATGGGGCTTTCTACTCTAATAAAGATTTATAATCTTGGCCACCTACAGGGGCTGTTTTACCTGCCTTTGGGGGTCGATTGGAGCTGGCATGATGTGACGGCAGTGGTTGGTTTGGGTGTGGTTATGTAGTCCTGTTGCTATGGCAGTGTGAGTGCAGATGAGCCTGTGCTTTCCGGGGCCAGGGTAGAGAGGCCTGGCTTAGGTAAAAAACCTGGTTTGGGTGCATATGGTTTGCCTGTGTCTGCATGAGAGGTGCACATATCAACAGGGGTGTGGGGTCATGCAGAAAAGGAGACTTATGAGTCATACAGGAATCTAGATTAAAATAAATAGATATGAAATTGCATAGTGAAAAATAAATCAACCCGTTTGAGTGTGGATTCCTGCTTCTTTGAAGGGGTTGGTATGAAGCTGCATGCCCAGCATGGGGGAGGGTGAATTGCCTTGGGGGAGAGGCTCTGAGAAATTAGGGGGTGAAAGGGGGTAGGTAAGAACTTTTGAAAGTAGCAAAACGAGTTGCTTGGTTAGTGATGATGTCTGTGCCAAGCTGCCCACATGGTGTGATATCCATGCAGGGTTCCCAGAGGCAACCGGGGTAAGGGTGAATTGGATGGGACCTAGGATGGATCTGGCTCATGCAAAGGCAGGGGGAGTGCTCTGAAATGGATCAGGCCATTGGGCAATGGTGAAGGGGAGTCAGGAACAGGAACATTAGACCACCATGGCTGAACCCTCATTAAAAAAGGAAAATATAATAAGTTCAGTGGACTTTGCTTTTATGCTGTTCCGCTAAGTTCCAGGGAGCTGGGGATTCCCTTCTTTGGGGGCTTCTCTAGTATTTGCTGAGTAAGTGCTACCCAAGCTTCTTATCTAGTGATCACATTCCTTATTCATCTCTATGTCATCTTTTGAAGGATATTTTAAAATTCATAAATATTACCCAAACATTTGAGAAATCACCTAACGGTAACAGTCCAGGAACTGTTTGGGTAAAACCAGGCAACAAGTACCCCAATTTTTAAAAGCTGGCAGTTCTCAGCTGGGTTTCCCCTTTCTGAAAGTAATAGAATGAGACCAAGTTAAAAC